AATATTACAAAGGGGATAAGTAGTCACCACACAAATCGGGTGACACTGAAAATATGGTTTTAATTTCCTAGAGGCGCTTATTAGGGCAAGCGCTAATTTTTCTAAGTATGGGTACCGAGTCTCAGCCTCACCTAAAGTTTGACTAACATAGTAAACAAGACTGCAAAGTAGGACCCCACTTACCGCGATTTCCAAGACTGCAAAGTACAAGTAGAGTTGCTCGTCTGCTTTCGGAGTATGAAGCAGTGGAGGGCTCTAGAGGTACCGCTTTAATTCTTCCAATGCTTGTTGGCATTCCGGGGTCCATGTTGTGAGAAGAACCTGTGACTTCTTTCTGAAGACCTCGAGATGAATCGACCTAGGGCGGCTATGCGCCCTGTTAATCTTTGTATGACCTTAATATTGTCCATGACTGTGTTGTCTTCGATTGACTTCATCTTATCGGGGTTGATTTCGATCCTCCGATTTGATACCATAAAGCCGAGGAACTTGCCCGAGCCGACCCCGAATGCACATATCTCCGGGTTAAGTTTCATGTAGTATTTCCTTAGTATATCGAAGGTCTCCTGCAAATGTATCAAATGGTTCTCTGCTCGTAGGGACTTAACTAGCATATCATCAATATAAACCTCCATTGATTTACCTATTTGTTCTTCGAACATTCGATTTTCTAAGCGTTGATAAGTGGCACCATCATTTTTTAGTCCAAACGGCATTACATTATAACAATAGGTGCCGTACTTAGTGATGAACGAAGTCATTTCCTGATCCTCCAGGTTCATTTGTATTTGATTGTACCCGGAGTAGGCATTGAGAAAACTAAGGATCTTTTGGCCGGCCTTGACATCGATCATGCAGTCGATATTCGATAGAGGAAAAGAGTCTTTAGAACATGCTTTATTCAAATCTTTATAGTCTACGCACATTCTAAGTTTATTTCCCTTTTTAGGAACTATGAATACGTTTGCTAACCATTCGGGATATTTTACTTCCCGAATGGATCCTATTTTGAGAAGTTTGACTACTTCGTCCTTGATGAATGCATGTTTTACCTCGGACTGGGACCTTCTCTTTTGTTTAATCGGGTGAAACTTCGGGTCCAAGCTCAGTCAATATGTAGTGATCACCGGAGGGATCCCTGTCATATCTAGGTGGGACCAAGCAAAACAATCCATATTATTGATAAGAAATTTAATGAGTTTTTCCCTGATCTCGGGGGTTAACCTCGTACCCAGGTATTCCTTTCGATCGGGTAGATGCTCGATTAGTATGACTTGCTCCAGCTCCTCGACTGTCGATTTGGTGGCGTCAGAATCCTCGAGGATTATGAAGGATCGAGGGGTCCAGTAGTCATCGTCCTCGTCCGTTCCCTGCTTCTCCGACTGAGTCGAGGGTGGTGGTTGCTATTTAGCTTCCTGATTTCCTTTGGACTCCGATCCCTTTGTTGACGAAAGCACCGATACCGGTATTACTTTGTCGACCGCGAACATCTCTTTGACAACATGCTGTTCCCCATACACCGTTTTTACTCCATTCGGTGTTGGGAACTTCAGCATTTGATGAAGGGTTGAGGGGACCGCCCTCATGTTGTGAATCCAGGGTCTTCCGAGCAGTGCGTTGTATCTCATATCGCCCTTGATCACATGGAACTTTGTTTCTTGAATAGTTCCGGCTACATTTACTGGTAGGATGATTTCACCTTTAGTTGTTTCACTTGCCATGTTGAAGCCATTGAGAATCCGAGCTGCAGGTACGATATGATCTTGTAAGCCGAGCTGATCTACAACCCTCGATCGAATAATATTGGCCGAGCTTCCTGGATCAATTAAAACATGTTTAACCTGAATTTTATTCATACGGATAGAGATTACCAAAGCATCATTGTGGGGTTGTCAGATCCCTTCTGCTTCTTCATCATTGAATGATAAAGTGCTTTCTGGCACATAGTCTCGAGTTCGTTTTTCCCTGGTGATTGATACTTTAGTGCGTTTGAACACGGGCCCTTGTGGAATATCGACCCCACAAATGATCATGTGAATCACGTGTTGTGGTTCTTGCTGCTCGTTTTTCCTATTTGCATCCCTGTCTATGAAATGGTTTCTAGCTCGGTCGCTCAAGAATTCTCGAAGGTGACCCTTGTTGAATAGACGGGCCACCTCATCCCTTAGTTGTCTGCAGTCTTCGGTTCTATGACCATGTGTACCATGGTATTTGCATTTTTTATTGGAGTTTCTTTGGGATGGATCTGTTTGTAGGGGTCTGGGCCATCTAGTATCTTTGATTCTCCCAATGGCTGACACAATACCTGATGCGTCGATGCTGAAGTTGTATTCTGATAATTGTGGTGCTTCTGTGGGATCGACATGTTTATCGAAGCCACTTTTGCTCATGAGCCCTCGAGAGATCTGTCTTTGATCGTTCCTTCGATCATTCCAGATGAGATTGCGTCCTGGGCCGTTGTTTCTACGATATGTGTTGTATGGTTGATACCAATCTCTGTTCGACTGGGGTTCTCTATCGATATCCCTTTGAGTTCTGCCAACGGGCCTGTTTGGATAAACGGAACCGGAATGGGTCCCTAATTGATCATCCTTGACCCTGATCTTTGACTGGTACCGATTATGTACATCGGCCCAGGTTACCGCTGGATATTCAATTAAATTCTGCTTTAGCTATCGTGATGCCACCGAACTTCGTTCGTTCAAACCTTGAGTAAAGGCTTGAATAGCTCAATTGTTTGTGACCGGTAGTAGTTTCGTGCGTTCCATCTGGAACCGAGATACGAATTCCCTCAACATTTCGTTGTCTTTTTGTTTCACCTTGAAGAGGTCCGACTTCCTAGTCGCAACCTTTATTGCTCTGGCATATGCCTTTACGAAGGAGTCTGCAAGCATGGCGAAGGAATCGATGGAATTAGGCAGCAAATTGTGGTACAATATCATTGCTCCTTTTGACAAGGTTTCTCCAAATTTCTTCAGTATAACAGATTCAATTTCATCGACTTCCAAGTCATTCCCTTTTATTGCGCATGTATAAGAAGTGACATGCTCATTAGGGTCAGTGGTCCTATTGTACTTAGGAATTTCTGGCATTTGGAATTTCTTCGGAATGGGTTTCGGAGCCGCACTTGGAAGGAAAGGCTTTTGTACGAATTTCTTTGAATCCATACCCTTTAGAATCGGCGGTGCCCCTAGTATTTGGTCAACCCGGGAGTTGTATGTCTCTACTTTCTTATCATTTACCTCGATTTTCTTTCTCCCGATTCAATCAATTTAGTGATCTCCTTGAGCATTTTCATAATGGCGGGGTCAGTCCCCGATTCGTTGGTGTTCGACCTTTCCGGCACAGACTCGGTCCTATGGACGAGTTCTGGTTCGATCCTACTCGGTGTTCGGTGCTGATTTTGTGGTTATGCTATAGTGACTTGTTGAGCCTGTAATATTTCGAATATAAATTGGAGGCTAACTCCACCATCTTCTCCTCCCTACGTACCTCGACCACCTGATCGAACTTCCCTGCGTACGCTACCTTCGGGATCAACGCCCGAATTTGCATTTAGGGCGACATGTGAACTGGCATCGACGAGATTTGCAATTGGTGCTCCCTCGAGGTCAGCCTGAGGCACCTCGATCCATGTGGCGGCTATATTGTCATTTTTCCCATGAAATCTGAGGCCGTTGTCACCATGTGTAGGTGCGGCTTATGAGTTTGACAAGTTTATCTTGAAAACAAAGATTCTTACGAGAACAAGTGTAAAACAATGTGTGTTATCAGAATCAGTATTAAGCAATCACTATTATCCTTGGCCCCACGGTGGGCGCCAAACTGTTTACCCTTAAAATTGGATAACAATTAAACTTATAATATGGTTCTAAAGACACATGATTTCACTTAATGCCAATTGATAAATATGAAGATTAATAATAGAAATGAACTATAAAGTAAAGCAAATAAGTGTTTGAATGGAACTCAATCCTTGTGTTTGGATACTCTCGAACTGGTTGATGTAAGAACAATTAAAATATAACAAGCTGATGAACAATAGTATAAACGAGAAAGAGAATTATATTACTTTGATATCTGTGAACAATGTGTGTTACAGATGATTAGAACGCCCCTTTAAGTAGTAGAGGAATTCCACTTATGGTATAATTTTAATTACATAAGAAAATCCCATAATTAGCTAATTAACCATTTCTGATTTGATCCGTTCTGAGATTTACGCCATGATCCTCGACCAGTCACGGATATCTCGCCTTTCTGTTATTGTGCTATCTTCGATCTTACTCGATGTTTGTCTCATTTGGCTTCGATCGCTACTAGCCTCGATCTTGACAAGTACCTCGATTATGAATTCGGTACCTTATCCTCGTGATTTAGTCTGTTTCGTTACGAGGCCATCCTTCGATGCAACCTCCCGGTCTCGGTCAAATAGTAAAATCGGGTGGGCCCGATTTTAACCATATACAAAGTTTACCCCTCAACGTTTGATTATAGTTCAAAACTACCCTTAAGTTTGAGCTATGTTAAGAGTCAAAGATAAAAATAACACTTTTCTTAATTTTCAGATAATATAATACAAAAATTAACGAAAGGTAAAATTGCTCAATTTCGAATTATACATCACAAATTCGACTAAATTCACTCTAGTAAATAATACAATTGTTTCAATTTAGGCGACAAAATTTGACTCAGTACCAAAACTTAAGTAAAAAGAAACTTTTGAATTTTATGGTCCGGTCTCAAACATGCAATAAAATGAAGTAACTATTTTCTCATTAAAAATAAATTGAAAGGGACTAATAAAAAAATATTGTGGCATAATCGCAATATTACCTTTGATGGTTAAATTGTAACGTTACCTTTGATTGATAAAACACAGGAAAATATTAGAATTTGTATTTATATAGGTACTTTTTTATTATCACAAGTAGCCAAAGTGACTAGTGATTTCTTGGTATTTTAAATTTTTATCAGAATCTTGGAATTGTTAGCTAGGGTCCAAAACTATGCACGTTAGAGCTTAATATTGATTAACTACAAAAAGAAAATGTTACTGCAAATTTATGCCCCATTTCATCTCCCTTCCCCAAATTTTCCATCAAATCCTAAACATTCGAATCTTGTAGTAATAGAAATGGATGAAGAAATCATTGATATCACCCTACGGCCAATTGAAATATCAGATGCAGATGATTTCATGTCATGGGCAACAGATGAAAAAGTCAGCCGTTTTTGCACTTGGGATACTTACACTTGCAAAAACCAAGCTTTAGAATTTCTCAGCACCAACGCTATTCCCCATCCATGGTTTAAAGCAATTTGTATTAGTAATAAAGCAATTGGTTCCATTTCTGTTACACCAAATTCTGGTACCAGAGCTGAGCTTGGATATGTGTTGGCTTATAAGTATTGGGGCAAAGGGATTGTTACAAATGCAGTGAAAATGGTAACATCAATCATATTTTCTGAGTGGCCAAATCTTGAAAGGCTAGAAGCTTTAGTGGACGTAGATAATACAGGGTCGCAAAGGGTGCTTGAAAAAGCTAGTTTTTTTAAAGAGGGAGTTCTGAGGAAGTACGTGGTGTTGAAGGGGAGATCAAGAGACATGGTAATATTCAGCTTTCTCGCAACCGATTCTCCTCTATCGTAGCGTCCTTTCGTTTTGCTCTAGAGGCGGATCCAAGATTTAAATTTGATGGGTACGACATATAAGGTTCTTATACGGAACTCATTGTACTTTTATAGTTTAGGAGTTTAGGTATAATAGTTGTTGAAATTTCAATGGGTTGTTACATGTAAATATATGCTTCGTGTAGAAAATATTGTGTTCGGATGAATCCTTTGTGGGAGTGTGGTATCCGCCCTTGTCTTATCCTTGGCTTTGTGTTGTGGAAATTTATCATAAATATATAGGCATTTTATATATACTAGCTGTTAACTTACTGCTACTCTTTTTTATACGAATTTGGGATTGGCAATCTGAGGAAGTTCATTTAATTTAATTTTATATAATATTGGAGTGGAATGAGCTTAATATGGATGATATCAACCGTGTGAATTCATATAACCGACTCCAACTTGCTTGGATTTGAGATATAGTAATTGTTGTTTTTGCTTTTACCACTTAGCTTTGTTTGATGGTTAATCAGGGAAGTAAAGGGTGCTATCTCATTGTGATGCTGTAAAAACCTGACCCCTTGTTTTGCTTATTTGCATTCTAAATATGTTTTGAGCATGTTATGATGTTTATTGTGATTTGTAAGCATGGTTTGGATAGAGTTTTGAGGGATTAAAACATGCTTTAGGCGACATTGGAAGTTGGAGATAGTTGTTCAAAATTTGATATATGGTGTCATCACGATCGTGGAAGGAGGACCCGCGATCCTAGTATGGTTGACTGGGAAAAATTCACATTTTCTGTGATCCCGGGTCTTGGTCCGCGATAGCGGTATGTTGACCAGCTTACTGGAGGTTGACCTCTGTGATTGCGGAGGTAATACCATGATTGCAGACGTGTTGCTGGCCAAAGATAGTTGACTCTCCGTGATTGCAGAGAAGAGGCCGCGACTGCAGGACTTGTTGACTGGCCCAAGAGAGTTGAGTCCCTGCATTGCGGCGAACCTGGCCAAGGCCCAGATGGTTTTTTTTTCTTGATCGCAGTAGGTACATTGCTGTTAAGGTTGAGGTTCTAAGACTAAGAAGTCTTTGGGTTTAGTTCGATAAAAGCATAGGCTTTTGTTAAACTAGTACATTGGCTTTCTCCATCTTTTATGTGTGTAGGTGAAGTTTTTGGTTCCATTTAGATTGGTGTGTATAGTACTCTTACTTTTATTTTCCTAACTATAAGCTTGCATTGCTGTATTAATTAGAATGAGAGGAAAGATTTCGTGAAGCGCGTTTTAGCCAGCTGAAGGAAGGTCGCGTTAGCGCCCCTGCAATCAGAAAGCCTTTTGATAGATGCCAAAGTTACTTCATTAAACAAAGGGTTAGTTACTTGAATTCTTATGTATTATTCTCCTGTTGAGTACCGTTGCGCTAGCTGATGATCTTTCATAATTTCTTTGTTTTCCTAGCCTAATAGTAAAACAGCTTGTATTCTGAAATCCGTTTATAGTACTTGACTGCCTATTAATCCTGATATCGTGCTTTTGTTGCAGCAGGTGAAATAAGAAAGTAGCAATTATCACAAACAGAAGCTGGACCGCTGACTCCCGCTATTTCCAATAAGGCCGACAAATTTGTTAATGCAAAGAAAAACTAGCTAATACATATCACAACAATGGGCAGTCGAGTGCACAAGGTATCCCACGTTCACGCACTGTTCGAGGAAGAGCCGCACCCCATTGAAAAGTTGAATATATGTATTGAATATATATCTGCAGAGACAATAATTGCAGAGGAACTAAAACAAGACAAAAATACAATAAAAAATCAGTCTCTATGGGAAAGTTGACTTCTGATATGATCCCAAAGCCTGATAATCCCGAGTTACGCGGTGGTGAATGTTGAAGCATAAGAACTAATGAAAAGAAGGAAGAAGAAAGGAAGACCGATCATCTTGGTTAAAGTTGCATCACTGGAACCGCCTTCTGATGATGGTACAGATCCACGCCCTGTCACGCGATATGGTATGTGTAAGTAAGTGTTTCGAGTTAAAAACCAAAATTTAAGCTTCCCAAAAAAATGAAATATAATTTTAAAGGATTATAATGTACCTGAAGCTTCTGTACCAGGAGAATTTGGTGTTCCAGCAGGAGAGCTATTCGGGGAGCCGGCTGTTACAGGTAAGTAATGTTATTGAACTATCAAATTCGCAAGGAACATAAAGTTTATAGTTGATACTCCCTCCGTTTTAATTTATGTGGTATTACTTACCTTTTACTTTGTTTCAAAAAGAATGTCTATTTTGTAAGTTTTTACTTTCAACGTTCTCAACTTACCCTTAATGACACTAAAAGGCGGAACTAAGTACAGGGAAGGGGCTCAACTGAATCCTCTTCATCAGAATAATTATATTGTGCAAGTAAGGTGAAATTATTATTTTCTGATTATATATAAACCGTTGAATTCACTTGACATGAAGAATTTTAGTGTAGTAGCAAAAGGAGGTTCAAACGTTGTGGTAGGTCATAGGTTCAAATCCCAATTGTCATATTCTAGAAATTTGTGAATCCCCTTTTTTAAATTCCTGGCTCCGTCACGGATGACACTCCATAAACGACTCTTTAACACTCCAAATATCAAAGGGTACTTTTGGTATATTATACATACCTTTAGTTCAAGATTGCAAGATTCAAAAGTCTTCTTTACATTCTTAAACTTCGTGTCTAGTCAAACTAAGACATAAAATGAGCGAAGGGAGTATTTTAGAATGAATTGTCTTTCTTACCATTGCATTTGCTGACTGATGGAGTCTGAACTTTGCAAGCAGTAGGAAGAGCTAGAGCTTGAGTCTGGTTAATATTGAGTCCAAGGTTGGAACCACCACCATTGAGGACCTGGCACAAGCATACGGGGTTGTTCTTAACCACCGTGCCAAGCTGCGTGCAGCATCCTGAGGACGGCGATGAAGAGTTCCCCGTGATGTAATTCAAGCATGGCGACATACTAACCAACACATTCGTGCAGTCATCGCTTGATTGAGCTGCAGCTCCTGTCCAGATCATCGCCAACGCAACAAAAACAAGACTCATTGAGTTCCTTTGAATTGCCATTTGATTGGCGATTGGTACTCAGAAATCGTTGTGAGGTGCAGAGAAAATTGTTTTGCTGGTGTTAATTGAGCACACAATCTTGCTGGAAGAAGAAAGTGTGGCTTGATTTATATAGAAAATAGAGAATGAAGAGTCAAAATAAGGTGTTCATATAATTGGTGAATTGGAAAGGAAAAATAACTGTTGAGGATTTTTTGTCATAATTTACAAATGAATTAGGTAGAGTTGGAAAATAGTTAGTTATACAGGTTATCAACTCATGCTAATTGTACCCCACAATTTGTTTACTGGTAAACAGAGAACAGCTAAGGCTTAAAAAGCTGTTCAAAGATAAAGACTTTAATGAACTTAAAGAAGGTTATGATTGGAATCTGATTCCAGCTTTTGCGGCTCTGCTACTATTATTTCAAACTTTCCTACAGGCAAACTAGATTTATGCTGGAAAACCTTTATTAAAGTTCTATTTTTGCATTTCAAGAAAATTTGCTTTTGTGTTTTGAGAAAATTTAATTTCATTAAAAAATTTAAAGTAGAATCTGATACATTATAATTAGTTTTTATGACTATGAGTAAAAGTAAATAGTAAATTGCAAGATAATGTCACTTGTCATGCATTTGTTGGTTAGTTCAAGTCTAAAAGTGTCGGCTCAACGCATTCAAAATTTTATATATATACGAAAAAATTTACTTCTGTTCTATTTTCACAGTACAGTTGAACCCTCTTCATTGGCTGTGGTGGAACTCAAAGGCAAAAACAACAATTAGGCCACGGCAAGCAAAGCCAGCAAGTCAGCAAAACTATTGGAGAATTTGACAAAAAAGTTTGTTAAGGTAGTTGAACTTCATCACCTGCTTATTTATCAACTACATAGCTACATTTCTCTTTTATACATTTCCTCTATATATTCCCTCTTCTTTCTCCCCACTTAACCATTCAAACCATCAACAAATTCCTCAAACAAATTACATTAACAAAACCAAAACAAAACTATCTTTTAACAGCTCGTCTAGCTAGTACAATGGCTATTCAAAACTCTGTGTTATTTCCAGTTATGTTTCTTTCTTGCATTGTCTTAGCAGCTCTGCCTATTAATGCCCAATTTCCGACTTCCCCTTGCACGTCGACGATGTTGACAAGTTTCACCCCATGTTTGAGTTTCTTGGCGAACAGCAGCAGCAATGGGACAACCCCATCTGCAGGCTGCTGCACTGCACTCAAAACTATGATGAGCAATGGCACTGCTTGTCTCTGTGTTATTGCAACTGGTGGCATTCCCTTTCAAATTCCGATCAATCCGAACGCAACCATGTCTCTTCCCCGTGCTTGTAACATGGCTGCTGTTCCATTCCAATGCAAAGGTAAAAGAATTTATGATCAAATCTATAACAGAAAAGACATCAAATGTTCATAGTTTTGAAAAGAAGGAAATGACCACCATTTCTTTCCATTTTTAGTTCCACAGTTGTGTTGGACAAAGAAGGGAGAGCCTTGGCGTAACTGGTAAAGTTGCTGCCATTTGACCAGGAGGTCACGGGTTCGAGCCGTGGAAACAACCTTTTGCAGAAATGTAGGGTAAGACTGCGTACAATAGACCATTGAAGCCGGACCTGGCGCATAGCGGGAGCTCAATGCTTCGGGTTGCCCCTTTAGTTGTGTTGGATAAACTCAAAGTTTGAGCCATTACATTCCTCTTATCACAAGAGCGGCTTGATACATTAAGCTCCCGTTATGCATGGAATTCGGGAAAGGTCGAGCCTAGAGGCGGACCTATGCTGTAAAGAGAAGGGTCATCGGCACACTGAAAGTTGGCAAAAATTTCATATATATATATATATATATATGTATTTAGAAAATAGTGATATAGTAGTAGTGATACCATATATACAAAGTAAATTTTGGTTGAATGCAAAAGTACACTTGCGACCTTCAAATCCTGGATTTCCCTCTGGTCGAACCATATTGGGTCTTATATACGCAGCTTTATCTTACATTTCTGCAAGAGACTGTTTTCACAGCTTAAATCTAAGGCCTCCTAGTCACAAGATGCAACTTTTACTGTTGCGCCAATACTCCCCTTCATTCCTCGATTGTTTTATAAATAAGAAAATTTAAGAGGACTATTATGTTTATATTTAATTTTTTAGTCTTATTGGTACCAAATTTTAAAGGATTACTAACACCCTTAATGGTTTTTTTTATTGCAGCCTCAAGTCCACCTGCAGCGGCTCCAGGTATATATTACCTATTTTATGTCATCTATTTTTCTATAATGTCCATTTCATTGATTTTATCATCTAAAATTGCCATGAAAAATTATGTGAATTTAATACTTGTTTTTGTCAACTAGGTCCTTCTGGTGCTGGTGCTACTGCTCCAAGTTCTTCACCAACAGCTGCCCCTAGTCCTTCTCCTAGTCCTAAAGGTATTAATATAATTTTAGGATCTTTACATAAATAGCCGGTATACATAATTTTTACATTAACTATACACGGTTATACACATATTATACACATTTGTCTATACTAACTGATTAAAAGCCATGGGCTCTGATCCTTCAATAATCGCGTCAGGTGTAAATCGGATTCCCCAAAATTTATTTATTTTTTGGAGGACCCGACACAAGTCCAATGATATTTTTGAAGGATCTGACCAACATAGATTAAAAGTTTATGAATTATACGATTTTAACTTGATAATTACTTTACGCAGATACGACTGATTCTCCGCCAATGTCACCAACTTTGGCACCAGAAGCTGAGGTAGTTCCTGCTGTAACTCCAACATCTCCATCCGCGACGAATTCCGGCCGTCGACAAAACCCTGTTACGCCATCAGCTGCCCTTTCTCTCAACTATGGTTTTTCACCATTATTCCTCCTTGTTGCATTTGGTGCAATTGGTTTTATGTTGTATTAGTTTGAGATGATAAGACACCAAAATTAGTGAATTTGTGTTCAATGGGGTGGGGGTATTTATGGCATTTATTTTGAGATTTTTATTATAATGTTAAGAAATTATTCTTTCATTTGTGAAGCTATGATACTGATGTAATATAGATATTCAGAAGATTATGTACTTTTTGTGTTATTTGGGACCTTTGAATTAATTTAAATTTGGGCATTTGTTATGTTTTCAATTGGACAAATTTGAGAACAAAAACGAGTTTGCTATGTCACTTGGTGGGGTGAAATTCAAAAATAGCAAGATTTACGAGTGGTAATTGAAAAATAGCCACAGTTTAAAAAATAATCAAAATTTAGCCACTTTTCATGTAAAGATAAATCTGAACGAAAACACTGTTAAAAATTCAGAAAATATTCCAGCATAATATACTGGAGTTCGAATTTTTTACATGTGAACTTCAAGCATAATATACTGGAGTTTCAGAATATTATGCTGGAACTCCAGCATATTATGATGGAGTTCCAGTGTATTCATACACAGGTGCTCCAATCTCCAGTATATTATACTGGAACTTTCCGTGTTGCAGCAAAATAGTGACTATTTTTTAATTACCAGTCCAAAAACTGGCTAGTCCGTGCGATTTTTACCACTTCGTGAGTCTGTGCTAATTGCTCCCCCGTTTCATTTTATATGATCATATTTGACTGAGAATGAACTTTAAGAAAGAAATAAAAACTTTTAATATGTTATAATCTTAAACATTTCATAATGTAACTGTAGCTTTATTAAATATTTTCGATTTTTTAATAAAATTAGACATGTCATAATATTTTTGTAGCTATATTAGCTTATTACACACTAAACTAAAAGTTTTAAGTATTTAGAAATTAGTCTTCCAAACAGACTTAAAAGGAAATAGAGTATAAAATAGAGTTAAAACAGTTTCCATAAACTTCTTTTTTTTAAAAAGATTTTGGTTTTACAAGCTAAAAACAAGATAGAAACGGTCAAATGTTTATTGGATAAAATTTAGGGATTTTTACCTTCCTATACACTATTTGAAACTTTATTACCCTTGTGAGCACCTAATTTTTGACAATATTTGAATTTTTATCACCTTATACTATGTTTATATTTTTAGAAATTTAATATATATTTTTTAGCTTTGTTACATTTGTTTTATATATAGGGTAAAAATTAAAAATAATTTAAAAGGTCAATTATTGCCATTAGTATTATTTTTATTTTTATCTTTATTTTAAAATAAATTAAATTAAAAAACCGAAAAAAATTAAATTTTTTTTTAAAATTTTCGGATGGGAATAAAAAAAAGGAAAAGTAGAAGTATGAAATTTAAAAGTAAAAGTAAAAGTAGGTGGAAATTGTTTAATAAAAAGTAAAAGAAAGTGGAAAATTCTAAAAAGAAATTAAAAGAATGTGGAAATTTAAAAAATGAAAAGTAAAAGAAAGTTGGAATTAAAAAATAAAAGTAAAGGTAGGTTAAATTTTTTTAAAAAAAGTAAAAGAAAGTGGAAAATTCTAAAAAGAAATTAAAAGAATGTGGAAATTTAAAAAATGAAAAGTAAAAGAAAGTTGGAATTAAAAAATAAAAGTAAAGGTAGGTTAAATTTTTTTAAAAAAAGTAAAAGAAAGTGGAAATTATAAAAAGAAAAGTAAAATAAGTGGAAGATAAAAAAAAAAGTAAAAAAAAGTGGAAATTTAAATATAATAAAAGTAAAAAGTGAGAAATTAAAAAATAAAAGTAAAGTAAAGTGGAGAATTTATTTACTTTTTAAAAAGAAGAAAAATGGGAAGTGAGAATTTATTAGTTAAAAAAATAAGAAAATAATTAAAAAATAAATCTGAAAAAATTCCGAAATGTTTTCTATAAATAGAAGAGAAATGTGAGGAAAAAAGAGGGGAGAGAAAGGAAAAAAAGGGAGGGAGGAGGGAATTGAGAGAAATGTTTTTGCTTCTTCTACGCTAAGGAATTTCTATTCGTGTCATTCTTTCTTCGTCTTTCTTTTGAAAAAGTCATCAGCTTCACCACCCAAAAATCACCTTGAAACCCATAAAAATCCAGCCAAGTCCCAACCTCGCTCTCCCATTTGCGTGAGGTTTAAGAGGTCTTGTTTGAGGTCCATTTTCAGCGAGGTTCTCATTCATCCGAATTCGGTTCCGTTGAGGCTGTTCGAACTCCGTTCGACGTCCTGTTCTCATTCGAGTTGTAGCCGGCACTTTCCTTCTGTAATTCAAACTTGGAGATTCTTTTTTTTATCAATATAGAGAAGAAGGTTTTTCACCTCAAAGGTCCGTTTCTTTTCCATTTCATTAATGTTTATTGCCATGCTCCAGTCATATCTCTTTGAATTGTAGTTCTTTGTTGACTTTATTTGGCATGAACTTTTATCATAATATTATGTGTTTAGTTGTTTTCTATGATTAGTTGGTGTTGTATTTTTCATTATCAGTTGGTTTGATTGTTGATCATTTTGGGGTTAAAGGTATATTTATTTTTGATTTATATGAATCTAAAGTCATGTGTAGTAGTAGGAAGACACGCATTCTCTGTTTAAATTTGAGATAGAAAAATTTGTATATGTAAAAGTAAAGATGTCTTGGTCAGCACATTTTGTATAGTTGGGTCATGAGTGTTAATTAGATTTAAAGGGAGCTGAGTTTGTTTAATGAAGTATGTACTACTGAAAATGGCTAATGGACAATGGACTAATGGAGTAGCTTGGTGAACTAGTAACTGAGCCTACTTTTTAGTTGGTTTTAAAAGGCCAATTGTACTACGATCAATTTTAATTTATCTGGGCCAAAATTATTTCTGTCATGCCCAATTTAGTAAGAGCAAAAGCTCACCCATTTTCCACAATTGATTTCCATAGCTCTTGACCTTACAAAATTCTCAAACTCGTAAGGAAAAATAAATTATGAACACGTGCTAGTTGCTTTAGGCGCGATTAATAAATTATCATGACTATGGGTACGGTTCCTGTGGCATGGTCACGATATGTAAATCCCAACTCAAGTGCGCATTTCACGCGACTTGATCATAACTTCAAAATAATAAAATAAACATGTTGCAAATTGCGGGTATGTTACATGTGGCCCGATTCACAATATGTACCAAAACGATAAGTGTACGACATCGTAGCTTGTTAAAAACATAACTCCATAAATACTAAAAATCGGTTAAGTAAATAATTAAAAACGGTAAAGAGTAAAATGCACAATAGGTCTAAAACATGTAATAAATCAGATAACTAGGTTAATCATTGATAGTTGAGAGACTGTGCTAAAACTACGAAACCCCAGAATGCCTAATACCTTCTCCCGGGTTAACAAAATTTCTTACCCGGTCTTCTGGTTTTCGCGGACTTTAAAATAGAGTCAAATTTCCTCGCTTTGGGATTTAAAATAAATCGGTGACTTGGGACACCATAAATTATTTCAAGTGGCGACTCTGATTTAAATAAATATTCTCATCTCGAATAATGTTACTTTAATTGGAAAAATTTTCTATCCCCTATCCCTCGGGAAAAAGGAGGTGTGACAACTCTGGCGACGCTGCTGGGAACAATAACCCAGAACTTCTGGTTCAGGGTTCAGAATTCGAACTTAGATGACTGTTATACTTGACTTTTGTTTATTATCTGATTTTACATATTTGGGCCTAATGTGCTAATTGTCGCTTTGATATTGTCGTGAACTGTACCTAAAACTATTACAACACCCTTCTTCTCTCTGAGTTTTCTAAATCATTTGGGAAGCGCACGCTGGCGTGGCTTCTTTTTTGTTAGAATGTCATATCCCTAATTTAGAACAAGGATCGGATCAGTTACAAAACCGAACGGCCTTTTGGTTCCCGGTACGTTGCCCCCTCGGCTCGAGTTGTCTTCTCGGGTAAGCCAAGTCTAGAACAATACACCCCCAGATTCAAATCTAGAATAACATATCGTGCATTTGACTTTGGGGACTCAACACAGGGGTTGGGTCCGTCTAGGACAGGTGTACCCAATATAAAAGACCATCCTGATGCATTTTACGTGCTAGTTGTGCATTTATTTATTTTGGCTTGCATGTTGACTGGCTTCTACAATAGGGAAAAAAAATCAAGAAAAAATAAGATTGAGGTAGAAAAGAAAATCACCCGGTTCTGAAAATTTCGGTATTCAAACTATCCCGAAACTCAGTCGAAATTTTTGAAAAGAAGAAAAGGAAAAGTCATTTCAAAATAAGTCATATTTTCCTATTGCGTCAAAACTGACCGAACTATGCGGGTATGATTCTCAAAGGATGTGAGATACGTAGGCAAACCTCATCAGTTCTGACCCCAAATTTTCAAAAGTCCAAAAATATTTTCCTTTAATTCCTTCTTTAGAAGTCTTTCCTTCGAAAATCCCAAATAAAAGAAAAAGATTTTAAAGCCAAAAAATATTTTCTTTCTTTTTAGAAGTCTCTCACTTGAAAAAACAAAATCAAATCAAAATCCAAAAATATATTTTTTTTAGAAGTCTTTATCCCAAAAGAAAATCAAAATTCAAAAAAAAAAATAATATTTTCTTTCTTTTGAAAATTAACAAAATAATAATAATAATAATAATAATAATAATAATAATAATAATAATAATAATAATAATAATAAAATAAAAAATAAAAATAAAAACTAAAAATCTAAAAATATTTTCTTTCTTGTTTAGAACTCTTTCTTTTGAAAATTTCAAATAAAAAAAAGAGAAAATTCTAAATCAAAATATTTTCCTTGTGGTACTATTGTTTTTAAAAAATAAAAATAAATGGTGAATAAAAAAAAGAGTTAGCTCAGTTACTTTATTCATGATCTGACCGAACTACGCGTGTCTGATTCTCACCGGATGTGAGATACGTAGGCAAACCTCATCGGTTCCGGCCCCAATTTTCAAAAAATAATTCAAAAATATTTTTTCCTTTCCTTAATTCTATGTTTAGAATTCTTTCCTTAGAAAATCCAAAAAAAAAAAAACAATCAAATCAAAATCCAAAATATTTTCTTCCTTATTTAGAATTACTTCTTTTAAATTAAATTCAAAATTTCATAAAAAGAAAAAACTCAAAAAACTATTATTTTAAAGTCTTTATTAAAAAAAACAATGGGACCGTCTATTCCCGATCTTTCCGAACAACGCAAGATCTGAATCATGCGGCGTCATGATACGTAGGCAATCCCCATCGGATTCGATC